AGACAGACAGACAGACAGACAGACAGACAGACAGACAGACAGACAGACAGACAGACAGACAGACAGACAGACAGACAGACAGACAGACAGACAGACAGACAGACAGACAGACAGACAGACAGACAGACAGACAGACAGACAGACAGACAGAAAAAAAAAAGAGAAACAAAAAAACCACAACAACAAAGAACTTCCTGGTGCCTCCACTGAGTTTCTCACCTCTACCCCTTCCGCGGCAGGCTGAACCAAAACAGAAGTCACAGCGTGAAAAGAAAAAGCCCACAAAAATACCAAATAAATGAACAAATCAGTACATGCTATTCTTCAGGTTGCAGTCAGAAACTGACTTCAGTAATTTTCTCATCTCGAACTGCAAGAATGGAGACAATGAGTATCTCCCATGCTCTGAACTGCTCTCCTAAGAATTAGGATGAAAAGCATCCTTTTTTTCTCCTTGTACATTGTTTAGACATAGCTTCTCAAATATCTGTACTGAATAAAAAAAATATTACAGATGATTAAGTCAAGCGAAACGGTATTTTAGCATCCTGAAAGACAAATTCGAATTTGCCCAGCATCAATTATGAAACCACTTTCAGTACTCGAACTACCAAACTATAAAGTCCTTCTCATAGGCTGTAATGGAGAATTTCCACCATGGTGCCACTGTTCACGAGAGGGACAGTTAGAGGCAACTATCTATTCAAAACTCGGTTTTCCAATTACTGGACATGACCTAACACACACACCTTTCCTTGGGGAGGCAGGGAAGAGAGGAAGAAGGGATTTAAATAAAAGATTTTGCTCATTGGGCCAATGAATTAGATCTTAAATCACTACTTAATTTGTTATGGTTTTTTACCTAAGGAGCCAGGTCACAATCCAGGAACACAGTATGACAGTCCTAAAATTATTTAGGTGAACAAAGAGCTCAGTTATTCTGGCATCAGTAGTTGTTAATTATTATGCAGCCTTTTTAACTGAAAAGTCTGAAGGTTTTAGTCTATCTAGAATTTCCATTTACATACGAAAACTCACTCCACAGACTGCATTCAACTGCACAACACCACCAGCACCACCACCAAATAGCACCTTCATAATGTGCTGCTGGGAAAAGATGAAAACTCTTTAGGTCAAAAAAGTTATTGTAACAGTCCTCCGTACCATTTCAGCTAGCAAATGTAAAGCTTTCCTGACCAATTCCATTCCCCACTGCGTGTTTACCATCTCCTAGATCTAACCACTCACTCACTCAGTTTGAATGATGGAACCTACTCCAACAACGCTCCCCAACTTGCTTTTAAGTGAATATCTCAGATTTTGAAATTTCACTACATTCAAGAAGCAATCGGAGTAAGTAAAAGGCCAGCTACAGTAACTCTGGCCACCAGTTTCACCATCCTAGTTTTTCCACATTTAGAAGATACAATTACAGAAACAGCACACTGTACATACAGACATATGAACACAGACTGCCATAGCAATTGTATGAAGATCACACTGTCTGTGTCATCCTTCAGCTTCCTAGAGTTTTTATTTATACGGAAATTTTACAGTAACACCTGGGGGGAAAAAAGTAATATTTCAATCAGCTTTGTAGTCACACAATTCCATCTGAAAATGTTTCCTTAGACTTCTCTCCTCCCTCAAGATGTGATAGCAGATTCCTTCTCAAGTGGCTGGTGTGCACCTCCCCCTCAACACAAATAGGTTTTAAACCAACACTAAAAAAAATTGCAGGTTTAGGAGACTAAACACACAACTACATAGAAAACATCAACAGAAGACATTAAAAGCAGAATTCACAATTAAATGCGATTCAGGGACCACTAAATTGTTCTAGAGGTGCCACAGTGTGGTTTGAAAGACTATTGCTATAAAAAGATCTGCAAGATATCTGCAATCATGACATTCGAGGAAACATGAATCCCAGAAGAAGAATACGAAGGCCTGACCTGAATAAAATGTGTTTAACTGAAAAATGCACAATTTTTAAGCTCAAACATAAGAAACAAATTCTACTCCATTAGAGAACATCTAGATTAAACACAAAGCAATGACCAAATTCAGATTTAAAAGCTCTCCTTGCAATGACAGGAAAGAGTAATGAAAATCCATTAAGCCACTTCCAAGTTTTGAGGATAATAAAAAGCCAATCTAATCTCCTTCTAACTTAAAAACCAAATAAATTAATAAAATGCCCCCAAATTTTTTTCCTTGTTGCAATTATACATTTCAACACTTACTATAATTTACTAATAAAACTTAATAGAATTATGAGACTTCTGGTAATCTACACGAAACAACACTGAAACAGTATTCCCTTCAGTGTCATATTGCTAAGAGCACACAGTGTTTTCGTTACACTGTGCAACTTTCCAATTATAAGAAAATTGATCAGCTTCCCATAGCTCAACATTGAGGCCATTGGTTTTGGTGAGAGAGATTTTCATGTGACCTCAACTGGTAAATACTGAACTTTTTTTCATAAATTATATTTAAAATTAATTGGGATTATATTATTGTTACCTATAGTTTTCAAAAGATTATGTTACAAGCTTCAAACATTAGTGAAAAAAAGAGGGATTGTGTTGCTGAGCTCATAAGCAATTCCAATGAAGAACAGATTTCTAAGCAGAAAATCCTGAGGAAAAAAGAATAAAAATCAATGAGCTATTCCTACACCAGCCTGTATAGAATAGGCTTTAAAGTAACTGTTGTCAACAGGTAAGAAGGTCCTCTCACTAAGATTTGTAAAAAATATTCAATATACATATAATTTCATTAGCTTGTAACAAAACATCAGTGTGTAATCAGTTATGGCAACATTTACAACTGAATGAGTTCTGTAATTTCAAAACATTAAAACTATTTATTTCTTGTCTTCCCACATAAAAGCACTCATTAACTTACATTTCCATCACTCCGTTGTCCACCTTTGTGTGTAATAACTACAACTTCCATCCACTTACGCAGGTGTTGCTATAAAGACAGGATACTTGGTATTATTCTTCTAATTATACCATTCCATTTTAGCAAGTCACAGCATATGCTCAAGAAAAGAAGTAGTAGAGACAGAAATGATTGTTTGAAGGAAATAAAGGGAAAAATGATTAGTTTCATTCTCTCAGATTGAAGAGTTTACCGTTGCTAAAAGTCCTCTCCATATTCAAGAGACCAGGGGTTATAACAGTACATACATTAAAGGGCACAACAATCCGAAGTCTGATATACAATGATGATTGGCTTACATTTGTTTAACAATTTGCTTGATAGGTATGCTTTTAAATATTTAAATATCTATGGCAAAAGGATAAAGAATTCACACACGCAGTTTAAGAACTGCAAATAAGCAGGGCAATACTGTCTGTTCACTCTGAGGGTGACGGAGCACTGGAACAGGCTGCCCAGGGAGGTTGTGGAGTCTCCTTCTCTGGAGATATTTAAGACCCGCCTGGACAAGGTCCTGTGCAGCCTGCTGTAGGTGACCCTGCTTCGGCAGGGTGGTTGGACTGGATGATCCCCAGAGGTCCCTTTCAACTCCTAACATTCTGTGATTCTGTGTGATTCTGTCTGCCATTTTATAACTCAAGAAAACACCCAAAAAGGTTTAGCCCAGTAGGAAGTAAAACATATTTTTGAGGGCTTCCTCAGTATATTAAGCTGCTGGCACCTTGCTTAACCATAAATTTGTCCAAGCAGACCTTAGCATAACTAGGTATGTCTTCACTAGAAAAGAACTTCTCTTAACTTTCTGGTTTAGTAGGTCTTCAGAAATTAACTCAAAATGTTTAAAGATTTTTTTTTTTCTATTAATTGTGAAAGAAAAATCTTTTAGTTCCAACCTGTATATTAATGCACTACTGAATTGTTCTTTGACTTTTCAAAAAACTGAACATTAGCTAAAAGAAAATTTCTTCTGGAAGAGCTAAAGCAGACTTTACTGGACTTACCATCATCTGATCACAGAATTTATCATTAAAAGAGTTTGGAAAAAGTCTAGTGACAGATGTCAGACGATTCACAACATTCAGTGTCAGACTTCGATAGTCTCCCAACATCATAAGCAATGGTCTCATGTGTGTATGAATTTGATCAACTTCTATGGTAGCTCCTTCCAAGAACTGCAAGAGAGTACAGGATTAAGATACAGATGAAGAGGGGAGCAACTTCTGTGCGAGCACCTTTCATAAAATGAATTCTGCTGACTTGACTTTTCTTATTCGGTATTTTCAGAATGCAATAGCTTAAACAATATTTATTGCTGGAAATATATATAGGGACAACATGGGTTTCGGAAACACTGAAGTATTTCTGACACACAGTAGGATATTCCATAAAATAATCAAATAGAAGATCTTCATTACAGATGGACTGAAAAATTGCCACAGCTATGAATTAAATATACAGCTATGGACAAACTACTTAAGACACTCCTTTAGTAAGAACTGCCTGTGAATCTGACCAAAGGCAATCTGCATGCATCCTGAGTAACATAAAAAGTCCACGGAACCTGGCTGCAAGCAGCCAGAAAGAGCATTTCCTGTCATAACCAAACATCCAGTGGGCATGCATTCATCACGGGAGGAAAAAAAAAAAAAAATTAGAAAGATCCTATACCAAATGCACAGGTCAGAACAACCCTTATTTGCTCCCTCCTACCTCTCAACTCAACTGTATTGTGAGCAAGCCATAAACAGTAAGTATATTCTCTTTCATAACCAGAGTGACATGAAAAGACATCTGACCTCTAATCAGTCAACGGCCTAAACAAACGCAAATCACCAGTATTACCACAGTTAATTCCCTGTCACATGTCAGCCAATCCACACATCATCACAAAGAAAACTAAGTATTTTTATTATCATTTTCTATATTTAGAAGAATGCTATTAAAATCTTGCCGAATCAGAATTAAGCCTATCTACTGGGCAACAAACCATGAGGAGAGAATATACTTGTCCATGTCTACCCACCTTTTTTAGACTACACCCTAGCAGTCACAGAGCAGACAGTGTAGTGTAGCAACACGTTAAGGATACTAATTCTGACCTCAAACAGTACAGCCACAGTCCTGTTCCTTAAGGTAACCGCCATACTGTGATGCAGAGCCTAACTCTGCTATATTGCTTACTTTTCCAAAACTAACTATGGAGTCTCTACCACTTAATTAAGAACAAAGAAGAAACATTAGAAAAACTTTTATAATGAAGCCAGGCATGAACATCTGCAGAACCACTGGTAAGGACTGATTCTGTTTATTTAAAAAAGAAGATACATTTACAAAGAACAGACAGCCAGAAAGACTGAAAAACTTACCATGGTCCTTGTCCAAGAGCTTATAATGCTTAATTTCAACAGAATTAATTTTTATGGTTAAGTTCAAACCCCCCAAAACCCACATCTGAGAGAAACTTAATTATACTGGTGTCACTAACTAAAACACAAGGGAGTATCCATTATTTCATGTAAATAACTTTCTCAAGAAGCTTTGTAACAAGGAAATAAAGCAGAGAGAACAATGGCCTCAAAAGAAACATTGTTTTAATACACTAACCTTTCTCATGCATGCTTCTCCTGCCTCCTGTAGTTCATGATTTGTTGAATTAAGTGCCTTGAAAAGTGCAGCAATGATTTTCTCTCTTGACTGAGGCAAGTAATTGCAGGCAGCCAGAGCATCTGCAAATATCAAAGTAAATTTGTTCTCTTTGTTCACTCAATTTCAAAAGAGAGGGGAAAAAACTGCTAATTCTACATTTCTTCTCTTCAAGTTTCTTTTATTTCGTCTTAAATTACAGACAGCTAAAGCACAGCATGCTTCGCCAAAAGCAACAGGCATCATACAATATTAAAAGAACGGAAATTCTATTAACAGTGTTCTAAAGTTTTCTTAATGTTCTATAACATAATCAGTCTAAAAATATTTTGGGTTCACTTCAGAAACTAAATCCTAGTCATTAACAAAGCAGTGATACTTTCCCATTACCCTCCATTAAACTGTGACCTCTAGAGAGCAGCCACCAGCCTTCAAGCACTGTAGTTTTCTGCTGATCTTGGGAAGAAGACTGCCTGTTGCTCACAAGGACACTTACCTACCTCGAATTTTGTTTAGGAAGTTTTACTTACTTAAGGCTGCAATTCGAAGAGGTACAAGTGATGGAAGACTTTTGTAACAAGGTAGTTTCATTAAGGCAACATCTTCAGCCTCACACAAATTCAGTAACTAGGGAAAAAAAAAAAACCACCCAACTATTTTAGCATAGCACTGTGAATCATCTGAAATGGTATTATTCTTCTGAGTCTTGTTTCCTCAAACAGTCAAGTTTAGGCAACCACACTAATCCACCTACGAATTTCACCAACAGGCAAACATTCTACTCAAAAGTAGGGTGTAAGTTCCCATGAATGCCAGTGGTTAGCCAGAGGCAAGAAAGCCCATTAGCACTGCCACCAGAGCAGTCAGGTAAAAATTAGCCGTTTTGCGTTTTGTTGGCCAATACCTACCTGGTCTATTTGCAAACAGGCTGCTCATAAGATAAAAGAACAGGTCTACAGAAAAGCTTGCCTCCTGAATGGCAGTAATAGTACTGAATATATTGAGGAAAGGGGTGAGAGAACAGGAGATTAATAGCAAAAAAATGTGCTGAAAATGTCTTTGGTAATTCTAATGGCCATGGGTCACTGCTCAGAGGGACAATTCTTTCCTACAGAGCTCTCCTGTTTGCAGACAAGTATTTTTAATATATGTGTATGTTTTTTTTAGAACACACTGAATAGGCTGAAACAAAGTTATGCAAGTAAACAATGTGCAGGTTGCACCTACATCCAGGAATACTATTAACATTCAGACCTTCACAATGCCAATACGTCACTCTCACCTTTACAGACACTTTTTCAATCTACAACACTTTGTTCTTGTCTTCAGGAAAAAACAGAGGATCCTCTGCATTGACAACTATACCCCTTACCTGCCTTGCTAATTGCAACTACTGTTGGTATCAAAGACCTACTGAATTTAAGTTTGAACAAGACAGTTAGGAAACCAACGCACTAGACAGTTTCTCTGTTGGATCTACAGACTAGTCTTATATCTGTTTTTACTCAAACTGTTAGGGACTCCAAAATCTTAAAAAACAATATCTATGTTTTGACAGTATACTGTGCACAAAATAAGACCTATATATGCAAGTCAGGGCTACTAGACCAGGAGTATAACAGCAAAGATAATTTAATATATTTCACACACATTAGAATATTCTGCTTAGCTCAGAGCTATTACATTGTGGATAAAGGCAGACCTCAGTTTGCATTTCAAAAGGTAAACTCTTATATTTCCGTGGAAGTTTAAAATGCACAGAGGAAATATGTATTTTTAAACATGGAAGTTCTAACACCATCACTACTTAAGTATCTACTATCAAATACGAAAACATGAAGTACCTCTGTGTAGAAAACCTTGTGTTCCACAACATTCAGATCCATTGTAAACAATCGGGGTTGCAGGGTTGTGCAAAATGTGTTTCCCTCCATCAGGCCAATCTGGGCATTTGCAGGTTGATGCCTAAGTAAATGCTTTTTAGGAGGAACCATGTCTTGGAGAACCTACACAAAGTAATTTAGATTACTGAATTAGCAGCCTATTCAAATGACCCCACAGACCCAGCCCCTACAAAGACATCATAGTCACGGCTGCATGTTTCTATCCATTTGCTACTGTGGGTCCAAATGCACCTCTTTAGAAATCACTAAGCAGGAAAAATATTTCTCTGAACTAATTTAATCCATAGTCAGTTAGTGAAACAACTCAGTATCTCTAATTATTACATATTCTCTGTGAAGAGGTCTATGATATTTAGCAACTTCACATGTTATGAATAACAAAGAAATTCAAAGATATAAGCATTTCAAACATTCAAGTCCAGAAAAAAGAATACTTTAAGCTCCCAAAACATCAGAAAAACAAAAACAGTCATTTAAGTTTTTTCCATCACACAAACTTCCCACTCTCCTCCATAAACACCTTTAGCAAAATAAGATATCAATTAGAGCGTGTCTCTGTATGTTCCCAACCACTGCAATTTCGTATGTTGTGGTGGCCCTTAGGGCTTGCGTACATTTACTTGTTTTCAAGAGAAAGAATGCCATTAGCTTTAAGGGCTATCTAGCAAAAAGTTACTTCAACCATGTTTGATCTTTACAGTCTCTTTCTGGAGAGGGAAAAGCATAGCAATACACCCCCTGTTTAGAGAATAGCACAAAACTGAGCTTCATAAAACAGTATCCGCCTGGCTTAGCCTACACCTGATTGGTGGTTAGATGAGCGGTCCCTAATTTCGGGAAGCAAATCAACCTGAAGACTCCATAAACACTGGCTAAGTACTCAGGCACAGCTTGCATGAATCTCTACAGTACTCCAGCCACAGTGTTTTAGAACAATGAAACCTAGCAAATGACAAACATATGCTATCAAAGCACTAAGAACTTAATTCACTCGTGGGAAAATGTACTCAGAAAAGCATTTCACAAATCCAAACTGGTAAACAACTTTAAACTCACTTTCAGTAAGTACTTCTGCTTACCTCTTTATGTGGCTCCATAATCACCGTGACACTTTTTCCAGTGACCTGTGCAAGTACCTGTAACGAATGCATGGCCTGTTTTCTCACAGTAGAGTTTGGAGAGGTTACTTCTCGAACAAGGTCATGTGTTACATGATGGAAAGACTTCTCCTGTGCTGCTAGGATTTCTTCTGTTTTTTCTTCATCTTTCAGAGGAGTTGCACATCTAATCAAAAGCTGTTCTAATGTGGTCTTTGCCATAGCAACTGCTCCATTAGAAACCTGAGGTATCATAGATTATTTTTATGAAATAAGTACAGAACAAAGATCACAAATCTACACACTACTCATCAATTAATTTAGCATTTGATTTTAGTGAATCCTCTGCAAACAGCTAAAAAAATAAAGCTTATAAAGCTTAAACAGAACACAAATTCACCTAGTCTTCCCACCAATCATTACAAAACTGTGACCTGCAATGCAACACAATTTTATCAACAAGCTCAAGCACTGGAACCCTTAGCAATGTTGTCATCCTATGATTCACAACTGAGAAGAGGTCAAGCAGCTGATACTTTAGATATGTGTAACTACATACATTTTTTTTGATAAGATGAACACCTTTCAAACTAAACACACAAAGCAGAAAAAAAGTGGTTTTCATGCAAGTGACAGTGAACTTGGTGTTCTTTCACTGATCTGAATGCGCCCTGTACATTCCTACTCTGAAAGAGGCAAGTGTAATTCCAACAGCTTTGGCAAAGTTACATGGAAAAAAAAAAAACAAAAACAGACCTTGTTCTTAACTTCAGGTTTTCGTTTGACTAAAATTCAGTTGTAACTATCGCAGATACAATACATTCTGAAGTTAAGTAAAATCAAGATTAGCAAGAGTTCAACCTGTGCGAATTTAACAACAAAAAAGTTTACTACTTGGTATCATTCATTCAATAAATACCTCTCCAGTTAGATCCATCATAACAAAGAGAAGTGCCTTCAGGAAAGTCTGCTGGTTCTGGAGGACCCAAATTAGTGGCAGTCGTTCCATAAGAAATTTAATTGACACAACACCTCCTAGTTTAGCATACCAAGCTTGTTCATAACAGCAAGCACATAAACGTTCCACAATGTACGAAAACAAGGGAAGCTGACAAGCCTGGAAACAAAGAAATGTATCAGTTTGCTTTTTCAGCTCACTGGTAGCCTCCAAAGTTTTAGAAGCAAAATTGCATTAGCTGAAACAAGATAACTTAAATACTTTAATAAAAAAAAAATATATATATATGCATTACCCTTTCCTTTGAACCCAAAATAATGCTGGCAACATCAAATATCACTGCTAGAGCAACCTCTCCTATTTTGCAGAGCTCCTTCTCCTCGTATGCCATGCAGATTGCTATGGCATCAATAAGCACCAAGGGATCCATGCCTTTTGACCCATTTTCTTCACTATGAAACATGGCTGTGCTAGGCTGGCTTCCAACCTGATAGCACTGCAGCAAAAAAGGACCTATAATTTTATTGGGGAAGAAAAGAGAGGAGAGAAAAAAAGACAAAACAATGGATATTTCAATACGAATAGTCTTTCAATTAGATTTTACTACTCCTCTGACTAGCTGATGGCAAAACCAGTAAGCACTGTGTCTACCTGCATATAAATAGACTGTAAGGCACTCTTCATTCTTAGAAGGAAAAAGATTACATCTGCTTGGATATTTTCTTTTATGCACTAGATTAGGCATTGCAAGAAGATTTAAGTAAAATGAAGAATCATAAAAATTCAAGCTACGTTGGTGTCACAATGAAGAGTGATATGCTTATAATATGTCTTTTCCCAAATTACTTGTCATACAGCCCAACTCCAAACAAAAGTTTTCTTCACAGATACAAGATACTGCAGGGCTCTACCATTTACTTTGTTCCTATGATGGTCCTTCAAAACCAGAAGTGGAAGCAATCCAACTACAGACCATCCGCAAAAATAACCGTGTACATCAAGTTACACAAATGCTCTGGAAATATAAACTGTTCCAAGCTGTAATTATTTCATTGGCTGCAGCATTTTAAATGTATTGTTAGGTGATTGATTGTTTTTTAAACCTTATTAATTTTTCACTGCTCAAAAGAATTAAAACGTAATTCAGCCATCAAACAAAAACCAACATATCTACCCAGAAGCAACTGCAACATCATGACTTTCTTAAAAGAAATTATTATCAGAAAAGTATAAACTCCTCCACCCCTCTCATGACAGTCCACACAATCTCTATTACACTTTACTTACCGCATTGCTGAGCAACTGCCACCATTGTGTAATGGCGGATTAAGCTGGCTACAAAAGGCAGAGCACTAGGCCTCAGATCTTTGATGACTGCTGACATGAATGCCCCCGTCAATGCCTGTTCAAATGTTTTACGAGCTGGAGTATCCTGAGCTTTGTATCGATGTGAAATAATCACACTGGGTATGGACTTCTCTGTAAAGCTGAATGACAAAATTAAGTTCCTTATAATCCCAAACTGCAGTACTGGCAGCTCAATCACGAGCTTTGTCAAGTACTTGATTTAAAGTTTGCTCTCGATATCTAACTCTTTCTCCACCTCTCATTTTCCCCTCATTTTGATAGAGCTAGACCAGTTCACTCAGTCCGTATTAATTTTGTCAACCACTGGTCTCAAACATGATGGATAGCTCAATTTCATCAGGAACATTTAAAGCCAATGCTTCAGAAGAAGCCACGCATATTACAAATAATAGGTACACAGGCATCACACTGCAACTCAATTACAGAATGTCATTTTCAATATTTTGACATTTTTCCCTTTTTTAAAATGACATTTGATTTTAATCTCGAAAGACTGAAATATTATTTATCAAATCACTGCCCAACAAAACCTATTCATTGAAAAGCTATATTTACGTCAAGTCTAACAAGTCCAAATTACAAAAGCTACTATACTCTTTACATTACTTTACACTAAGAGTCAAAGTCAGCACACACTTCGTGGGCAAAGATGTCAAAGTTGTCTAAAAGCAATAAACTCATTAAGTATCAATGACTAAAATTGTAAAAGGTGTAAAAAAAAAAAATCAATAAAAAGCCCCCACACCAAGAGAAACATACGTTATGTGCATAACTATGCTATAGTTTATTCACTAAATGAAACTGAATTTTATATCTCTTTCACTTTAGTAAAAACAAAACATCACATTAATCTTTAAAACACAATTAAGAACCAGAGTATTCCAACTGTTTAAATATACTAAACTAAAATTAATTTTAAAAAAAAGTCTGATCATATGTAATAGGTGATACACTGGACTGCCATTAGGGGAAGAAAACTAAAGTACTGAACATTAACACTCGTCACTGGCATTAAATAACACGCTGACAAAATTCTTCTTACTAGAAAGTCCTGCAGTGATTTAAAAGGAAACAGGATAAACCCACTGCCTAGACTAACCATTGTCTCTAAATTACGTTGTTCTAAAGACACTATAAATTTTGACATAATTTACGTTTAAAGAATTGTCATACTTGGGATGTGCAAGAAGTTGGTATAATGCATGTTTATTATCATCCAGGCTCATCATAGCTACTAAAAAACACTTGATTACTTCCCACGCTTGCCTCCGATAATACGGCTCTGTGTTAGCACTCTTCAAACAGTCTAGAGCAGTCTCAATTGCCTATAATGAAAAAAGACAGACAGTAATCAAACACTTCTCATTCTTAGTATAAGGTGATTAATCAAGGCAACAGTATATTTAATACATATTAAAAGTAACTTTAAAAGTATGTACAATTTGGACTGCCTAAGTTCAGAAATGCAGAGAATGTCAGAGAGAGCAGACTTATGGAATTTCCTGTGCTTTTAGAAATGCAGCATTTCACGGCAGATACATGTATTTCCATGGTCAGAAAGCATTCGAAGTCACGAGTAAAGTATACCTTCATTCTCTTTCTCCCTCCTCCAGAAAATTTTCCTCACATTCCCTCCAGCAACAATTGCTGTTCCTAACCCCTACATACTGTAAGTATACAATGCGTTTATCCCCATATATAAATGGTACCAAAAAAATGGTCTACCTTAAAAACTACTTTGTCATATTTTCCATGCAAATCAAGAGCTACATCATACATGATGAAATGTCCCTGTAAGCAACTTCTAAATACCATTTACTTAATTGAAATACTACTTCTCTTTTCATTTGCAAGAAGATATATTTATTATATTTGAGAATAAATCAAATAATCTTTTAAAACATGAAAGCGATAAAAAGAGGGGTACAGCTTTCTGGAAAATTTCTATTTTGCATCTATATAAACACAGCTAGATACTTTCTATCCTTCCCAAAAAAAAACAAAGGAAGAAATTCTAAATAAATGAGACAGACATTAAGTAAAAAGCATGTAAAAATTGTTTTGAAGTGCACAAAATAAGGATTTTCAATACCTGATCAATTGTAAATAAAATCTAACCATCCATGCTTAAACAGGATTATGCAGAAAAAGGCTCTGCTACAAAGAAGTAGGTATACTCCTTCTTTGAAAGAAAAAACATCTTTCCACTTACTGACTTCACTAGCTGTCACCCCATCACTGTTTGAATAACCTTATCAGCATCTCAATGAAAAGAACAATGAATTTTACACAGACCACAGAAGACTACCAAAGCACTGAAAAAACCATGGACTTCTCATTTTCAATTTATTCCACTTTTTTCTTTTAATTTGACATTTCCTTTTTATAGATACAAAGTATTCAGCAGATAACACTGTTTCTTGGTCAACACCAAGAAGCTGAAGATCATTCCATATCATTCACCAACATAAGATGCATAAATACTTTGGAAAACTTGGTATGAATTAAACCTAGCAGGATAGGAATGTCAGCAATTACAGTGTTTATATGTATTCAACTCGTCAGTTTCAATACAGAGGAGAAATCAATAAAGCTATCTGCATTTTATGAATCATTTTTCCAAGCTATTTTTGGCTCCATACAGCCAACTGGCTTTAGAGAGCCAGCTGCCCATAAAGAAAATTGTTTATTACATTCAGATCATACCTACTTACAAAAGTGTAATTGAAAAGGTAAGTATTAAAACTCTACAGGCCAAATTAACTCAGAATCTAGCTTCACTCCCAGATCCCAAGACACAGACACAGTGAGAATGCTGCAATCAGTGAGCACTAAGCATTTGTCATACATGGAGACTGTCAGATTAAAGTCAGTACAAGTACAAAGTGGTTTTGCAGCTATAAGAAGTACTGCACCCAACCTACAGACAACAAACAAAACCAAATCATTGGAGTCATTAGAATAATGATCACTGAAGCATTTCTACAAGAAGTTTTTGGTACACTTCAGAAAGAAAATAGGGAAGTTTTAGAGTAGATTCCCACTCCTAATCTAAGTACACCAAAAGTCAGGAAGGAGGAAAAAAAATGCACAGACAGTATTTACTTGTGCCGGATTAGCTCCCTATCCTATCACTTTGCAAAAGGAGAACAGCACGCTGTCCTGGTTTTGTCTGGGACAGACTTAACTTTCCTCCCAGTACCTGCTGTGTTTTGAATTTAGTACAAGAAGAATATTGGTAACATTGATGTTTTTAGTTGTTGCTAAGAAACCAAGGACTTTCTCTAGTCCCATATTCAACTAATGAGCAGGTGTGCAGGAGCCAGGACGGAGCACAGCCACGCAGCTAGCCCAAGCTGGCCCATGGAAATATTCCATACCAGTATGAGTATATAAAAGGGAGTTGGCCGGGGGGGCATGGTTTTTTTTTTCCCCCCCCTCAGAGTTCAAATTCTCTCTTGTCCAGGAGTTCTAACTTTTCCAGGAGGTTTGCAAAATTCACAAAAATTCATGAGTTCCAGGTTCCACAGTCACTGCCTGGGGACTGGCTGTGAATCGGTCACTGAGTGGTGAGAAAATTGAATTGTATATAGTTTGTTTCGCATACTCAGTATTGTTATTGTTAGTATTCATATTTCCTTTGTTGTCTTACCTAACTGTCTTTATCTCAACCCATGAGTTTTACCATTTGTGCATTTCTCCTCCCCATCCCGGTGCAGGGGAAGAGGAGGGGTGAGCGAGCAGTTGTCTGGTGCCAAGTTGCTGGCTGCCGGGCTAAACCACAACAAATTTAAGTCTATTAATTTATGGGTGACAAATAAAACAGTTTAAAGGGAAAATAAAGAAAGAACAGGTTGGCTAGCTTCTCCTAATAGTGCATGTCAAAACGAAGCAAGAAATTAGTGTAGGTCAACCTGCCTTATATGGAGACTCTCAACTGATCACTACATAGTAAAAAAACTCTTTGCAGTGATTCCTGAATCAACTTTTTGTACTTTACCTGTCAAGTATGGCAACTTAAAAATTATTTCAAAAAATAAAAAACAAACAAACACACCACTCCATAAGTGGGTTTAGATTCTGCTTCTTCATTACAACAAAAATTAGAGAACTCGTTGCCTAACTAGCGTGATATGAAAAAAAAAATCAAGTACGCATGAGATCCTAAAGCCTACTTTTAATCATGTAAACTCTATAATGTTAGATCATTAACTCCTATCTCGAACTGGCAGACATACCTCACATTTTATCAAGGTTTTACAAGCAAATATACTTCCGAAAAATCTGTAATAAAGGAAAACTGAGTAAGATGGTTTCTCCGCATGGAAAATAACTTAAGCTCTTACCTTTTCCATTGGGAGCTGAATTGATGCTTTACAGTCTGAAAATTCTATCGTAATACTGGGGCCTTGGATTTCAGTGACTACATATTGCAGTTTCTGGGACTCCTTTAACATCTTCCTGTTACTTCCACCAAATTTACCAAGTACACGATAAGCCACATGGGAAATGCTGTCTGCAGGATTGCGCAGCGTACGCCACAAAGCCTGTAAGTATTTTAAGTGTTACATGGTCAGATGAGTTTCGCTTCAAAATTTTTCAAGTTGTAACGTAAAAAAACATCAAGTGAAACACTTATTCTTGTATCTGGGTAATCGATCCTGCATAACTTCCAGAAAATACTTTTCTAGATTCAATAAAAGCAGTCTCAGTTTGCAACAGTTCAAGTGCTTTGTAACAAGGTTGTCCTAAATGCAGTTTTAGATTAGATTAGTGTGATCAGCTACAAAATCTTTGCCACACTGACATGTAATATCATGTTTATGACGAATATTAGATAAACAACATTACCAATTAAAAAAAAAAAAAAAAACAAAAAACAGGCCAGTTAAGGCTGAAATGAATTAACCTTCAAGAGCTGGTTTTGAAACATAAAAAGCAGATAAAGTAAACATTATGTTTAAAGGACGAAGTATATGCAAGCACTGTATTAGGGGACACAGCCACATTTAAAACACTGTTAAAACAAATTTCAGCCACATCATCTTCATTGTATATATGAGACTTCAAAGCTGTGAATCCTATGTTGGAGGTAATTAGCTTTTCTTGTTTGTTTTTTTAAAAATTACAAATTTTAATCATTTTCTGTACCAACTCATCTTAAACATAGTAATATTCTTGCTATTGAGTCTCCAGTCTTATCTTTAATCCCTTAACAGTGTGTATAGAAAAAATTATTAATTCACTTTTAAATTTTTCCAGAGTTTTCAGTTTAACAGCACACCACCAAATGGCCTTTTACAGACAAATCAGACTGGTACGGTTCTCATTACAGAATTTTCTCACACAAACTTCTAATAATATTTAGTGAATCAATGACCTCTTGTGGTGTAACACAAAACAACATATTTACCTGCATTAGCTCAGCTCGAACTGGCTGAATGTGATCATAAAGAAAGTCAGGCTGCAAGTTATCCACACACAATTCAAGCGTTCTTAAGCCTTGGCTAACCAGGGTCTGAGATCCATTGAGAGCCGACACTAAGGGGTCCATCAACATTGGCAGGTAAGGCAGCAATGAGCTCAAACGAACGGGCACAGTGAGGCAGAGCTCTACAAACAAGTCTTTCATGTGTTGTTTATGAAGGCCACTTTGTAACATATTAAGCCCTAAAAATCATTAAAAAGTTATACGCTCACCGGAAAAAGACAGTCCACGGTTTATTGTTAAAAATTGCTATTTCCCACATTCTGAATAACCTGACATTTTTAAGTTCTGTAAAGTTTATATCTCTGTAAATAACGTATTTACAAAATATAATACCATTCATAATAATAACTTACACCTAAGGATTTCATGCTGTGAATGCTTTTGTAGCTACATGCATATACAAAAAAAGAATATCTATGCATATTCTAAAATTCAGTATTAGACTGAAAAAAGTAGCATTTGAATACAGCAGACAAAAAACAGAAAAAGATAATTTGACTCAAACATCAGCCTTGTATCAATAAAAAAACATCCTAGACACAGAAAAAATTGTTTTAAAAATATCTGGACTCCTGAAAAGAAACATTAATTGAATTCAAGTACATTCACTGTCCATACAAACACATTCCCCAACATCTTTTTCTCACCATCAAGATTTCATATATTCCATAAACCTAGCTAGTATTTCTATATTGACATGGATTTTACACAGTGATTTATAGATAACATATGTATTTGCTAACTAGAATGAAAATTGCCCCTACAGTTGTAGATGGGAACCACAGGATTTCACGTTCCTGCAATTGTTCCGATCAGCTAGTCCTTAGGTTTAAGTAGCTCTCCACATTTCTTCGCTCATCCTGTTTCTCTGCAACACAGTCCTTGCAAGTACAAATGCTCAGTTAATCAAACTGATTGTTATTTCCATTGCTTCTTGCAAACTGACACTACTTGCATTTACATTTATCATGCACTTGCAGTTGCACACACATGCCCTCAAGTGCAGAACAAGAGCTTCTCTGTAATTTTTTTCCCACAAAACTGGTGATGGCCTGGCAACATTGCTTCTTCTACTACTCTCATCCCTCAATGCTTTATGCTAACAAAGTCCTCCATAGAAAAAAAAAAAAAATTGAAGAAACCATCAAAAAAAAAAAAAACCACCCCACAGCCTCACAATGGAAAGCAGAAAAACAGGCAGCAGAAATTGTGAAGCAGCCGAAACTATGGAGCCTGAAGCAGCTGACAGTAAATGAAAATAAGCCACATTCAAGATATTTAATCAACTGCTAAGCTCAAAATCAGAAGCTACTTATCCGGATTAGGGCTTTAGTTTTGTTTTTTTTAATTACATAACATAACTTTACTACTACTATTGACACAAAAAGATCAGAAACCGGGGTGGGGAAAGAAGGTATTGTTCTACCTTGCAGTAAGTTTGGTAACAGCGGCAAGAATTCTTGATATAACAGATCATGACTGCCTCCTCCAATAGATCTGAACAGTGCTCTGAGCAGCAGGAAATAGTTATAGGGCTCTTTGGCAGTCTGTGCAAGTTCCATAGAGCTGTTCACAATCTTGTGCAAATGTGGCTATAAAAAAAATAAAGCTTGAAGATTAATAAAATATCAATTTTATCTACGTACAAGAGTTCAGCATGAGACAAGTTTTTTCAGATCAAAAGTCTTCAGCTGTTCCAAGTACTCTGATACCATGCTAATTTTACATCACTGTTGAAGAATTGTTAAAAAGTAAATCTGTATTTGAACAGTATCATGAACCCAGAGTACTCCTTAATTAATTAAACCCCACTTTCATGTTAGCCAAATGATTAAGTCTGCTTGCTACTCCAAGCAGTAACTGTATTAAAACAGAAAACCTTCTGCAAATCTGACATAACGGAAAATATTTGCTCCAAGGAACCTGGGGATGCGTAGCAGAAATCAGAAGTGTCGGAATGACAGGAGCAGACATTTCACAATATTAATCTGCTCCAGATCTAACTGCATCACTAATTCTTAATTTTGGGGAATGCTAAAACTTCATTTTGAAAGCAAACTTTTACCAGTAAAAAAAAAAATGGTTATGGAACTGGTGGCCTTTCTAGAGCAGAGGACATTAACAGTTTGCAGGAATCATTAAAAACAATTGATAAATACAAGGATTCTCACAGATCACGTACAAACAGTGACAAAATTATGGATTTTATTAACGTCTAAAAGCTTTCTACATTGCTATGCAAATGCAGCAAATAGCCTTCATCATTCAACTAAATTGTCTACCCAAGGCCCGTATCATCAATCCTACTGAAACAAAAAATGTAACAGAAGCATGAAACTGTGAAGGAAGTAAATCAGACTCTTTAAATTGGATCTCCAGCTTATAAAATCCCAATGACCTTGATTCTGATGACAAACGAGAAGAATTTAAGCAAGATTATATGAGTATTGCTTCATATTACTTATAAATATTATTTCATATTGCTTTTATCTTTCAAAGAATCTGGAAAATTAGTAGTCCCTGCTCTGTTCTATCCAGGAAACACATACTGAACTAATCCTGCTGTAACAAATCATTAAGCACAGAAACCATTATCACTCAGTTACCTGTATCAGAAATACTGTTTATTCTAATGTAGAAGGAAGAGAAATGGAGAGAAGTTATGTGAGAAGGTGCAGCATTCAACTAATATCTTAACAGTTTTTCTGGATATAGGCAGCTGTTACTTTTATGAGAAAGTACACTCTCGCTTCAAGCTCGGTATTCTAAACTCACTGAATAAGGAGATGATCTCACCACCATAAACAGATCCTTAGAATATACAGACAGTATGTTGTCAATAAAAAAAAAGTCATTCCTTAATCCAGCGTTTTCAAGAGCACAGAAATATCTAACTCATGAGGTACATGTCATGAATACAACATGACTGAACAAGATTCACCAACACACAAGAACGTGATCCTAGTCTAAGCAAAAGTCTTCAGTTAATATGGGAACAAGGGGGGAAAAATCCTGCAAGAAGATACGCATATCCTGACCATGCAGTTACACTGGTTTGTGGCAACCCCACTCATACCCAGAATTAGCACATCACTTTATGGTTTCAAATATGAAGCAAACATTCACAGAAACCATCTCTTATAAATAAGGCCATGTACCTGCCGTTTGGAAAAGATGGAGACATATCATTAGTAGTGGTTCAAACTTGACAAGACTATCAAACATTAGAGACAGTAAAACTCTTAAGTTTCTTTAGACAGATTAAGAATGTGCTGAAGAGTCAAAACAGATTTTTTCCACTTTTAACACAAATAACCTTTACCTTCAGCATTTGTTCATTTTCAGCTGCAAATAGTGAAACTGAGCCAAAGACTAACTTGAACAGCTTGAGATACAGATTGGAGAGTTCCACATTAGAGCCCATTTCTGGCAGCCGATCCAGAAGATACTCTACCAAAATCGTTGCAAAGAGGGCAGAGGTAGTAGGGTTTGCCAAGAAGGAATTGGCAACAATCTATAAAAGGAAACCACAAGGAGTTATTGTTGCTGCAATAAAAATAGAACAGAGGGAAAAATGCACTACCCAACTAAAAACCTAAGACAAATTTCTTCCTCTATCTCCACTATTACCTAAGTGATTCAGGTTACTCTCAGTGGAGAACAACCATGCATACAACTTAAGTATTTGAGTTTAATTTTAAATGTATATTACAGGACTTGTGTTCTGTAAAACAGTAGGTCAGAAAATTAATACAACCTGAACAAAACAAGAACTCCACAATGTTCAATACTTTTCAAGAATAAAGTCCATTCATATCTGCTGAACTGGACTGCTTGTGTTCGTATTGCATCACTTAGTCTGGAAAGTTTTTGAAAATCCATCTTTACAAAGTTTTTGGTTTTGTTTTGGGGTTTTTTGGTCTATTTAGGAGTTTTGGGGTTTTTTGGGTTTTTTTGTGGGGGGGGGGTTTGTTTTGGTTTGTTTTTGGTTGTTTTTTTTTTCCAGACTGCTTCAAATCTTCCACGCTAATTTCAATGTTACTACTTATAATTTCACTACAGCCTTATGTAGTTCAAGGCATAAGCCTTTTTTCCACAGGCTGTTTATCATCAAATGAAAAAAGTAAACAAAAACGTAATACCTGAAGAGCATAGTTTTTTGAGATTCTCTCCACCATATAAGGAACAGTAGTTTGAAAGATTTCTTTAAAAGTTAAAGGGTTCATCATTGTGAATACACCAGCAAAATGCTCCAGAACTTCCTTTTCCTCTTTCATTCTGACTGTCTGACAGTTTGCTACTCGAACATATGTCTGTCCATTTCCTGCTATTTGGACCTAAGACAATTTCGAAACACACATATTGGTTACAGAACTTCAGTAACTTTTCCCCACTATTCTTAAAGTACCTTTTCAAAGAATGTGAGATTTTACAGGTTTCACATGCAAGACCCATGCAGTTATAAGTTGGACACAAGAGCCAACAGTGAGAATAAAAACATTCAAATAGAGTGTTTTCAGAACAGATTTTAAAACCATTAAGTCAGGAGTGGAAAAAGAAACCAGGAGGAGAATCAGGTACATTTACATTTCACCAGTACTTTGTGTAACTACAGAAAATAAACATAGCCATGTGAATGCTTCCACTGATAGCTAAACTATCTCTTTGAAGAAGAGATCTAATCCACTACATGAAAGAAGTATTTTTAGTCTGAGCTGCCTGGACAAACACAGACAACAACAGCTGTTAAGAAAATAATTTGTTCCTTGCAAATGGTTAAGTACTTTGAAATTCATAAAATACAATACATGTGAAATTTGTTAGCTGACAAATCAATCCTTATGAAAAGATCTAACATACGGTAACTGTATAAATCAAAGCGCTATGCAGTCAGGTTACATACCTGATAAATATCTAAAGCTTGCATTGCGTATTTTACCAATTTTATATAGATTTGAGTCTCCTTAGGTTGCAACTGCTTATTGGGAATAAATTGTGCTTCTGAAAGAAGATAAAGAATAAGACTGTAGTTAACCATTAAAAACACTATTTCCTTTCATGCTAGAAAGTTTTAATTTTAGAATTACAAAAGATAAATGTAATTAAATATTGTGCAGTTTTACCACCAGGAGCTTTGCATGATGTTATGCCCCACGTGATTGTCTTGACACCACAAACCAAAGTTTTTACTAAGCTTCGGCAATCTGTGACCTGAAATGTCTGTTTATCTTCTTTTTCTTTCTCCCCTTGTTTTTCAAATACAGGTACTGGTGCAGGGGCCACTGGAGCGGCTGGGGCGGGAGATGGAACAGGAACAGGAGCTGCATTTGCTGCTGTCGGTACTCCAGGTAATGCGGCTTCAGCAGCCCCAAGTTCAGACTGTTGCTTGCATTTTTTAAAAATTACAGAAAGCTGGTATCGTGCTATCGTGTGAAATTTCAGAACAAAAACCTAAAGCACAAAGAGGAAAGGCAAATGGAAGAACAGGGGAGAGGGGGGGAAGAAAAAAGAAAGTAAGTTTCTTCTTCAAAAATCATTCTAAATGTAATAATAACCCTTCAAGTCAGCATACTTAGATCAATAAAATTTAGAAATAAGTATTTCTGAAGTCATTAAAACGACAGCAAACACTAAGTGTGTCAATATAGTAGTTTGCTTACTTTTAAGAAGTTCCAGAAGTAAAAATATTTCCTGAAAACTAGTAAAGCCACCAACTAAAAAATTATCTCTCTACAATTCTACTTAAAATTAAAAGCTATTTCATTTTTAAATATGACTTAATATTTCACTCTATAAATGTTTAGTACTAAGTATAAAAAGCTAGAATTTTTCAGATGTATATGTAATTTATGTCAGACGTATTAAAAGATATATACATTATACATTTAAGTTTTATGCAGCATATCAGATTTAGAATGCAATAATCAATCCTGCAGAACAGTGGTCCCCAACATTTCTGCCTCTTGGCTGACACTAAATAAGCGGTATGTTGCACAAGGTTTCAGTTTAAAATTTTCTGCACCTCCCAGATTTTAAAGTCTGTATCTACTCGGGTTGCTCAGATATTTCCCCACTACTACTACAGCTCTGTACACTATCTTCTTTCCTAGAAGCATCTTCTCTGAATTCACATATTACTACAAATTTTAATCTGATAAACAAATAACCAACCAATTGTGTCACATTACAGATTTTTTTTAAAGTAGAAAAAAAAGTAGTTTATTTGGAAGACAAAAGGTACTACAAAGCTACTTCAGTTTGAGAAATCGGGAATAAAGGACCCGTTACAATGCATAACATCAAGATTTTTCACTTGTACTGTCGCTTGTATTTTACATTTAGGATGAAGCCATTCCCTAAACTACTGATACCTTAAGGGAAAAAAAAAAGTTCAGGTGTAATACCAACTAATCTGGAGATGACTACAATGACTAGATCTCTTCCCTGGTGCATTCAGAACCATGACAGTCTGTCCACAACAGAGAAGAGTCAAAGATGGAGGGGATGCACTACATTCAGAATTCCTAGATCTCCCTTTCCAAAATAAGCAACCATACGGCTTCCTGAGTTATCTTAAAGTGTCAACACAAGTTTGATTTAGATTTCAAGATATGCTCTCACACCCCAAAATAAGACTATTAAACCAGTATTTACCCTAGAAGTGTTTTACTCCACAACTGAGTGCATCTTCATGTTGTGGCAGGAGAAACACTAGGCAATCTTTATCCATTAACAACTTGGCTACAACACGCAGGTAGTGTTTCACTTGTACTACACCATGGATGACAGCTTTTAGGGCGCATCCCTGATTTTTAAAAGTAACAAAACAAAAAAAAATGCCCCCAAAAAATCCTCCATATAAAGAAGATCCTTAAAAAAAATCTGCAGGTCTTGAAAGGGTAGGTATTTATAGTTCACATTTTACAGATTGTATTGGGCTATGCCAAGGACCTGCAAGATAATCCGCTATCAAGATTTAAAAAACAAACAAACAAGAAAACCCACACAAGCATAACTAGAAGGCATTAAAAAAGATGCCATCCTTACATACCTTTAAGTGGGGGAAAAAAGGAGATTACAACCAAAACTGAATAAAAAAAATTTTAAAAGTAACTGCAACTGTTAAGCTACCACCAGCATCACAGACGCTCAGCTTCCTGCTTTGAAACAAGTCACTGAATGAATAAGCTGAGTTGACAAAGAATCTCCACTATACTTGAGATATTATCCCAGCTACATGGCGTTTTAAAAAGCCCTTCTCTGAAGTATTAAAATGAAATACAGCATGCAGATTGTTTCTACATATTCTCATTTCCGAAGAAAGGAGAAAGCAAGATGTGATCAGCAACATAATATAAAATAGGATATTCAACTTATTATCAAATGTTTTAAACAAATCAATACCTCCAGCATTCTCATAAGAATATCTCTACCATTTCCATTCTCCTGTTCACTTTTAGACCGGATACAGTCTACCAAATTTAGTAGAAGCTTGCAAGACATTGTCTGGATACTGCTAGGCAATGACTCATCATCAATGTTCTTGGCAAATAACTGGACAGCAAGGGAGAGATCATTGAGTGGTAAATGCTGACGGACATGATGTACCAGGTCTGCCAATGTACTATATGCAAGTGGTCTATCAGTAAAAACAAGAAATGAAGAAAATACATTGAGGACAATTATAATTGTTGTTAATTGGACTTAACCAATAACTACTGCCGAGAGCCATTTCCAAGATTCTAAATTAAAATTTTCTTTTTTTATATGCAAATCCAAAGTTCACAAGGCTTTTTCCATTACACAAGAGAATTATAACCTGTATAGTCTCACCAAAGATGCATTAATCTGTCTCATTAACACTAATATTACCTCTCTGATCTTTTCTCACCCACTGCTGAACATCCCCAGCACACACATTCATCTACATACGGTTAAGAGCAAATTAGCATATTTTAAGCCACATTTTAAGCAGTGTTGGTAAGCTCTTTCACAAGTAATCATTGATGATTCATGATTTCAAAAGTAGTTATGAAAACTGATACATTTTATAAGTCATTTATTTTCAAATACCAGGTTTAAGCATCTAGTAGAGTGAGTACTTCTAAATCTAATACAAGTTGTCAGTAAGGTATACTTCATATTTCGACAAGAGGAAATAATTCTCCTAGTTCACATATTTTAATTTGGTCAGCAAAAGCACCTAAAAACTCGTAGACTATTGAAGCCACAGAAAGAATTCTCCTCATTCATTTTTTTTTTAAGCTGTGAATGAGCAAGTGTTATGGTACTTATTGACAAAACAGTTTAAGTCTCATTCAGATTTTACACTGGACACAAGATTTAGGCTGTTTTGTGAAATATTGGGAAAGTATTGAGCCAATTTCGCTGTGACCACTGTTTTGGTTGTGCTCTGCAATTCAAAAAGTGAAACAACTTTTCGTCACCCATTTAGGTCATTTTGCCCTACACTCACACTACCATGCTGTGCCATCAATGTGTTAAACAACCACCACTCTTTACAGCAGCAGAAGCCCTTTCATTATCAGAATCTAATAAAATTAGTTATTTAAAGCAAAGATTTACGACCCTATACAGACATTGTTGTAAGCATTAATAAATCTTGAAAGAAACCAGCCCTGGCAGGCACTCATATAGCTATTCCAAACTTTGTCATACCTCAGTGTCTCTCGGGCAGTGTATCCAGAGCCAATTAGTATAGATTCATCAAATAGCTTGTCCATACATGGAATAAATTCTGTAAGTTTTTTTTTTAAAAAAAAAGGGGGGGGGGAGAGAAAAAAAGAAAAAGCTATACATAATGATTGGCAAAGGAAATAATCAGAATACAGCAGTTAAGCATTAAACCATTTAACTTTGGTATTTAAACCAAAGTCAGAAAGTGATTTTATTATGAAATTCTTTCCTGAAGCTTATACAAGGCAGTGTCATTTACAAGGAAAAGTTCATTTAACCTCTTATGATTATGAACTCCACTAACACTTGCCCCTTGAGTAACATTACGGTACACAGTCAAAAATACAGCACTGATACAACAAAAATAGTCACAGCTGAAAAGAGAAAAAATGCTTATGTTATTTTTAACTTTGCAGAACTTTATAAATGTAACTAATGAGCTACTGGGAAGGACGAGTTTGGGTAGCACAGTACAACACAATTCTATTTTGCCTGGCATCTTATCATACAAGCTCTATCCCAAAATATAACAAGGAATACACACAACCTGGGGTCCAGGGAACAAAAGGAAGATTTCAGTAACAAAATCAAGTGACAAAGCAAGACCAAAGCAGCCTTTTCTTTTTAAATATAGAAATCAACAAGTTTATGGAATTCATTAGGTCACTCCACCCTAAAGTCAGATGACACAAATAGCAGTAAGGATTAACTGCTCCCACCTCTAAATACTGCAACAAGCCAAAACTTACTAATAAACAAAAAGTCAAATAAAGAGAAAGTGGAGCACCCAGCAACCTTCATTCTCCACAGATTTCCAAACAATATTAAAGACAAAAATCCAGCATTTTCTGAATGAAATCTGAAACGCACAAATGAATCAGTGAGGTCCACTTAAACGAAAGTCACAACATGGTAGCTAGCTGTCTTTGCTTTAAGAGAACATCACATTCTGCAAAAATACAGAGGAAGAGAAAATGAGAGCACTGGCATTGTTTTTTGAGGGGGGTAGAAATCTTGAAGACTTACAGTGGAAAACGTAAAGAAAGAACGGGAATAAAGATTTTAGATGCAAAAACAATCCATTATTTTACAAGACAACCACCACATAAGTCATGACGTGAGAATAAATTCAGTCACAGCCAACAAATAATACTGTGGAGAAAAAAGCTGAGTCAAAAAGATGGTTGGAAAGTAACTGCCTTGGATCAAACCACTCCGAAAAAAGGAGTTAGTCTTAGATACAGTAGTGTTAGCAAACACACAATGAAAAAAAGCAAAGGAAATGCAAACTGAAAAACAATAGTGAGTTTTTGTGTATTGAACACTTCTAACATTAACATTCCTGTGTTGTGCTATCACTCTTAATGTGAACTAGTAAGAGAAATTAAAGCAAAGCAACCAATAATAAATTGTTTACACCAGACCACTGATTGAACTCTCTCACTGTTAAACTTCGTAACATAAGAATATTTTATGTGGAAGTTAAGGAATGTTCATAATGTTTAGTCATTACAATTCCAGAAACACCATACAAACTACTCTAGATTTTTGAAATGGACATCTCAGTTAAAATTCTCAAAACACATGGCTTAATAAGGATGAAAACAGGTAAGTTTCTAAATTTGATTTGAACTCTTGTCTTCTAAGCCATGTGCATTCTTCACGCGCATACATTTTGCTGACATAAAACATTCTTAGACAGAGGCACTCTTTACAGTGATAACAGTGGAGAGAGCAAGTACAGTTTCACCTCCACTCTCTCTTTTAGGAATCAGAAATGAAGTTCCACGCAGACAAAAAGCACCACAATCTGGCATTATTCGTCAACTCTCAATCAACACAGAAGACTTAGTTTGAAAGATTATTTCACTGAGAACAACAGTACCAACGGCAAGTCCCACAGACATGAAACACTTCCCTCAACACTCATTTTTCCAAATAAGTTGAACTGCACCAGGAGAATGACTGAAGCCTTACCTTCTACAGATCTCCACATACTTTTTATCCCACTCCTCTTCCTCACAACTCCGTATTACTCCTGCAATACCATGTTCCCTCTTCTCCCTAACACTGCTCAGGATTTCCTCCTCTACATACACTTTAGGGCTGCCAGGCTGCCAACAGCCGCGCTGGAGGGATGCGTTAGCAACCTGTATGATAAAATACCAGCCAAGCGACCAAGGGCAATGAATTGCTAAGCTCACACTGCTGTTTATTCCTCCAATGGAGACACTAGCTCCGGTCTTCTCCACTATCCAAACACTAAAGTTCACAAAGGATGCACATCTTACCTTCAAGACCTCACTCCTCTGTTGAATTTTGCCAAAATTGGTCAAATTCAGAAGTTATTAAGGAGAGGCTGAGAAATGTAGAACAATTAAGCTAATTTCTTTAGGAAAATAGCCAGAAACAGCTTTCCACGTGACCACAATACTAAACTCCATAACTAGGAAACCTGCTATTTTTCTTGGCGAGCTAACAATACCTGTAAGACATCACACTGCCCCATAATGGTTGTTAGCAGAAGGAAAAGAAAGGGAAGCAGACAGCAGAGATGAAAAGACAGAAGTTAGTATTTTACAATGTACACTCACAGCCAATTTTGCAATCCTGCCAAAGTAGAATGTATCCACCAAACCTGGTTAATTCAGGCAGACCAAAAATAGCTTTCTTCTGCTAGAGACAAATACTATGAGCTGAATCAAACACGTGGTATCATGTTTTGACAGAACTACTTCCATACAAACCAACACAAATGTTTATCATCAAACGATCATTACTTACAACAATAGATATTTGGAAATCTGGAAAAGCCACTTGTTCAGTACATCATCTTATTAAGATGATTTTATTTTTTCCAAGGAAAAAGAAAAAAGGCAAAACAAAAATCTGATCCACCCCCAAAATAATTATTATGTAATAGTCCAAAACAAACAGTAAGCAATATGCCTTTTAAACACACAGAAATAGTTGAAATCTTTCCAGTTTATAGATACTTTTTTAAAAAAGTACTACATACGGCTCCTCAAGTCTGTTGTCAAGATGTGCTTAGCAGCAATCAGAAGCTCCTTCCGGAGGTGTGCCGTTTCAGCTGGACAGTTGGAGAGCAACTGCAACATTCCTTTTACCATTTGCTGAGAATATTTAGCCACTAATTCCTACAGCAAAAAATAACATGAATACAATTATTATGACATTCTATTTTAAAGCTTTGCTTTACATTTGCGAAATAACATTAAATTAAAATTCACTTGTTTCTCTTTAAGAAGTCTACTTGTAAAAATAAAATACAATAGCCATTCCATAAATGCCTGGGGCACGGGTAACAGCACATTTTTACTTTGCATTTACATGAGAATACTTGTGAAAGGACAACAAAGTACACCCCTATCTTTAGATTTGCTACACAAATGCTCTCTCCAACCCCTGATGCACCGCAGTCACGCTGGTCACTTGCCTGCTATAAAGTAAATAGAGATCAGTTGCAACAAAGCAACAAAAATGCAACCTACCTGGTAAATTCTTATGATGTAAGCCAAAAAAGACAACGTTTTAATCTGAGCAGCGATAAAATCAGCATACAATTCCTTGTTATAAAGCTTATGTTGCCTGAAATTAAATTGAATAGTGGTCACGATTTTGTTCTTCCTCTTTAATACTTTAGTTCAGAAAATTCACGTGTTTCAAATTACATCATCTTGTAGTAAGGTTCTTGCTTCATAAGGGAATAAAATCATGGAAGAGCCCATTTTCAACAAGCTCTCTGCCATTCAAATTCCCAGCATCCTACATTCTAAGCAGAAATGCACAGGCCCAAGGCAGCCATACAGTTGTCAACTTTCTCCAGAGAGCCAAGCCCATACATCAGCATCAAACATTTGGCTCCATTCCCCTCACTGGGGCAATTTTTTTCCTCCAAGCAATATTCCCTACCACAGACTTGTCTGTCTCTCTCAAGCTTCAACCACTTATTCAGATCATCCAGGCAAACAAGGAAAGATAGAGATGTTACTCCTGCTGCCCTGCTCAGTACCACTTGCTGCTCCTCAGCAACATCTCTCTGAAGCAGGAAAAGCAGCACCTGTACCTGCAACATCACAAGAATTTGCCTAAGCTGTACCTCAGCAGACAAAATGTATCACTGGTGGTACGGTACAGACCAAACAGCAGCAAGTGTCCTAGCTAGCACAGTTTCTGTGGTAGTACGGATTTCTGTCAAACTCTTATAAAAATGCATTATCAAATAATAAATTGGGACCTACTGTACAACTATGGATTTATCAGTGACATATAATGGAAATACTTGGATTTGCCAATTACTTCACCTACAAAACTTTGACAATTTTAAGTCAAATAATCATTGTTACTTCTGAGATTAAAAGCAGTAAAACGAGATGCAAAAAATCTTGCACAGAATGCAAGACAAAAATATCTTGGGCGATCCTGAATGGCAAGTTTAAGTAGTTTATCCCAAATGTCATCAAAATACTGTCAAAATGCTCTTACCTTGCTTGAGCAGAAACCTGTATTATAATAGTGTTCATAATCAAGGGCACAAATTCAGCTACCACATTATGAATGTTCAGTTTGTAGAGCTTAAAAAAAAAAAAAATAAAGTATTATTAGAGAAATTTACTAGTTACACTTGCAGTCAACTTATTTGAGAGCTAATCAGAAAAAAATGAAGGAATTTCAGCAGCTTATTTTTAGACCATATTTTAATATCAAAAATACATTACCTTCATTTTTACTAACACATTAGCCAGCAGAAGTTACACAAGCCATTCAGTAATAAAAAGTATTTACATGCAACATTAACTAGAGTATACTAACCTGATACATAAGAACAACAATAATAGGTAGCTCAGCCAAGACCTTTAGAGATAAAGAGCCTCTGGGAATTATAGAGTGCTGAAAGAAAGAATACATGTTTTATAAATATGTTTAATTATTAATTCAAAGAAGTATTTGAAATATCTTTTTAAAGGAACTGATCATTTTAACAGCACTATATTTAGTGATAATAACAGTTAAAAAACACAAAACCATTTGGTATTATATTAAATAAAAACTCTAATTACAGCTGCACAGCAAATATCTGAGAAGTTTCAATCGGCTTCTACAAATAAATCTTGATCAGAAAAACAAGCAAAAAGAAATCCTACTACCTTTACCTACCCTTACGATTGAGGGTATTGCGATATGAACATTCTCATAGTTAAAGAGCAGTTAGAATACTCACTGTTCTCGTTTCGCTATCGTCTCGCTCAGGGTTTACTTTCACCACAATTGTTGTAATCATGCCAACCATTTCAGGAGAAGGAACAGTGTTCTCTGGAATCACCTGAGGATTCTCAAAATAGCGATTCTACAAGCAGAGAGCAGAAGAAAAATATAATAATGCTAGTAGTAGTCAAAATGCCATTTATCTCATTAGACCTCCTCCATATAATTTAGTTTTTTCCTTCTCTGCATATGATGTTTACACTGCAGCACCCACTACAGCAAGAAGCAGAAAAGCATCCCCAACCAAGGTGGTTCTTTTGCTAAAGAAAAACATCCCAACAGATATTCTGTTGGGAGAGTGTTAGCAGTGAGGAAGAGCAGGCAATGGCCTCCACAGAGATCAAGCACATGGAAGAATCCACTGTGCTGCAAAGTACATAACCTCATCCTTCCCTCAAAAAAATAGCATTTGGCTACATAGACACCACCGCAGTCAACTGACTAGTGGTTCATTATGTAAGTTTACTTCAGTTTTCTCATACTAGTAACATGGTGCTAAAAACAGAAGGTTGTCCAATTCAATTTCTCCATTTTCCGATGTATTTTTGTTAAATATTTTTATTAAAACTGTATTTACTCTGTATCACTAGATACAAAAGTAGTTATGTTAATATGTTTTAGAGACAAAATTAAGAAATAAAACTAGTTTTATGACTATTTCTTAAATTGTCCTTGCTATAAAAAGCTTACCACTACTTTTGGAAGTTCCTTATAAATCTGTTTCACAAAGTCCAAAAAGTGATGGATCTAGGAAAGAAGAATACAGTTTACCATAAAGAAAAAAAACCCACACAATTTTAGAATCTCTGTATTAACAGTACAATTACATAAAATCCTTCGTCACCACTACAGTATATTTTTCATTATATTTAAAAAGAATCTAAAAGCGTTCTCCTACTTCCTTCTGTTCTGCCAATATTCATTCAAATTGCACTTGGAAAGAATCCGATGTAGTTATCATCTCAACATAGTTCCAGTACAGTATTATTAGAAATAATTACTATAAACCAACTAAGTCTTCCTAGGAGAAAAATCAAAGAAAGAAAGACAATAAACTGAAAACTTTCAAATAAACCTTCATGAGTCACGGCAGAGGAGAAAGGGGGTGCAGGAAAAGACAATCATAATATTCCTTCTTCCACGGTTTTCCCTTCACAAACTAAAGAAACACCAATTCTCTTCCCTTCTGTGGGAATTTTATTCTTTAGTCTAATCATATTGCCCATAAATACTTAAAGAAAACACAACTAAATTTTAACAGTTTGTTTCTTCAAGGGGTGCTAGCATTATGCAATCCTCTTCTAAAAATTAAGGTAAAATAAAAAATCACATGCTTATCACAATGAGTCAGCCAACACAAAAGGACAGCAGGAAAAAACAAACAAGCCCACTTGAACAAAATAGCAGTTCTGAAAAGCATTGCAGTAAGTTCTATAGCATATAACAAGATTTATGACCTACTTCTTGAGTGATTGCTGGTCGGAACTGTTTGTGCAATTCAATAATTATTCTTAAGCAAATCAGTACATTTTCTTCATTCTCCGTCTAAAAAAGAGAGAATCTTTAGTGAGCCTACTGTTGCATCCCTTAACTACTCCGTAAGTACTTCAAAAGCCTATAAAATTGCACTCTTCTCAGCAACCTACAAGTGCCCCATTAATATGAATTTGCATGAGCAAGATACCTTTCCTTTCATGTAACCTTACCTTGCAGCCTTAAAGTATGGCTAAAATTAAGTTCACCCCTACTGGAACAAAAAACCCAAAGTTTCAACCACTCTGTACTGCCAGACCTGTTTCTAATGCCCCACAGACAGCAAGACACAAGTGGGGCTATTCACACACCGAGACACCTCCACATAGAGGAGGTTATTTTCTGTGGGCTTCAAGTGACACTGTTTTCAATTCCAAGAAAGAAACAAAACAAAATCTCTAGAATAAGCTATCCACACTTATATAACCCAGAAAAGTGTTCATGAATGAAAGCCAGTCTAGCATGAGAACAGTTCTTTGCATTTGTAAAACCCAAGCTTCTAAACGGCAGAAGACAACACGCAGAAAACCTGTAGACAGTAAGATGTCACTCTGGTGAAGCCTAAACAGAATGCCCTTCCACTGTTGCTCCAGAAGCACCGCTATTAAAAATCCTACCCCCAGCAATATTTGGAAATTAAGAAAGAAGATTAAAATCTTCCTGAAAATTTGAAAGTTTTAAAAGAAAAAAAATATACCTCTAAAAATCTAAACATCACAGACAGGATATTTTTGGTATGAAGACGAAGGTGTTCATTTGTTGGTATTCTGTGAATTATTTCAAGCACTAGCTTTCGGAGTTGCTGTAAAAAAAAAAAAAAAAAAAAACCACAGATATGATAGAACTTTTCAAAAGCCCACAGAAAACAACAATCAGTTGCAACACCTTTTCAGCTTAATACTTCCATATGCTTAAAACAAAAAAAAGCCGTTTTGCTACGTGTAGACATGCTCCCATATACAAACACCTAACGCTTCCTAATACCCACATATCTGAATAAGGCAAATTTAACAAATTTACAGGTGAAAAATGCAAGTTATCAGACTTTTTTTTAGGGAACCTTGTTTTAAGTATTTAATGACAGATTCAACTTGTGCCTTTCGTCTCCACAGTAAAGTCAGTAACTTGTAACAATCTGATGTATGCCAGTGAGAACAATTCTGCTGCACCTAGTTTTTCCTCATTTTTCGTAGAAGCCCATATTTGCGGAGTTTATAAGTAACTTATTTAGAACTTAGGCTTTTTCATTTTCACACCAAATGATATATCTATTTTTCAGAACAAAGTCAATACATAAATTAGTTCGTTAGGTCAATAAGGCACTTCACTGAATGAACAGTCTGCTGCAGACTTTGCAAAAAGGTAAGAGATGCTCCACACAGTTTACCTGTGCTGGCTTCTCCTGCAGGAACTGAACTTCTCCATCCTGTAGAAAGGTGAGAAACCTAGGGATGATGTGTTCCAGGAATGTAGAATATTGAGGGGATGATGTCACATTCTAATTAAGAACAAAAAAAAAAGGGGGGGGAAGATAGATACAATAGACATTACACAGATGATACCAAGTTACATTCAAAGCCACTATTAAACATTTTCAGTGACTTTTTAATAGATTCAAATAATTACGCATCTGCTGACACACTCCAGAGCACTATTAGTGATAGAATCAAAAGTGAATACAAATTAATCTCCTTCCTCCAATTCCAGACTGTAACAAGTTTTTTTTCTAACACTCACCTCACCTAACAAGTAAAATTGGTTTAACGTACAGCTATTTTAAATGGGAAAAAAAACACAAGACTGTAGAAGTTCTCAAATAAGAAAGACACGCACGCTCACATTTCATTGCTCGAGGATTCCCCAGATTTTTCACCCACTTAAACTGAGATTTTAATTATTTCTTCAAACCTGTACACGCATACATCACCCAAACTGAGCATCACATTCCACTGTGAAAATGATCTTGCACTACTGTCCACTTGTTGTGAAGCCAGAAGAAACAATAGGTGAGCAAGCTTCCTCCATCTGCAACTGCTGCATCTGCCTCGTAAAAAAATCTAACCTGGCCACTGTGAGGTTTATTTGGAGACTCAGCTGTAGTTTATGTACAAGCTGTTAGGCAATTCTCTGAACTATATGTGATACAGAAGCATACTGGTTTGTTGGTGAAAGTACAGAATGCAGCCTTCTTTTGAAAAAGTTATATAGGTATTTCATGGGTCTATTCACATTATTCCTTGCATAACATAAAAGTTATATAAAGCCACCTCCTTTTATAGATTTCCACTACTATTCTCTACTTCGCAGTCAGATTTCAAAACATGCAACCATAAATCATACTACACCAGGCACTGTCCAAACAAAGGTTTTTTTCTGTCAAGTGCTTTCAAGAAAGCAGAAAGGTATCCTAACAAGGGCACAAAAACATTTTAAATGCATGTGCTGGCTTTGGCTGGGACAGAGTTAATTCTCCTCATAGTAGCGCTCATATGGGGCTGTGTTTTGGATTCGTGCTGAAAACAGCGTTGGTAATACAGGGACGTCTTCATTGTTGCTGGGCAGCACTTAGACAGAGCCAAGGCCCTTTCTGCTCCTCACCCCACCCCACCACGAGGAGGCTGGGAGTGCACAAGAAGTCGGGAGGGGACACAGCCGGGACAGCTGACCCCAGCTGACCAAAGGGATATTCCATGCCATATGTCATCACGCTCAGCACATAAAGCTGGAGGAAGAAGGAAAGGGGAGGGACGTCTGGAGCAATGGCGTTTGTCTTCCCAAGTAACCGTCATGCATGATGGAGCCCTGCTTTCCTGCAGATGGCTGAACACCTGCCTGCCAATGGGAAGTAGTGGATGAATTCCTTATTTTGGTTTGCTTGCGTACACAGCTTTTGCTTTACCTATTAAAACGTCATTCACGGAAAGTGGCTCACAAATCCATTCAAGGAAAAGTATACATTCACAAACCCAGCTCCAATTTCTGAAAGCACCTTCCCAGTATCTTTGTTAAACAGCAAAGAGCAGAAACAAGAAACTAAAATCCCCACTACTCTAACCAAGTTCAGAATTATGCTGCTGGCAAAAAGATCAGAAGCAGCAATGGAGGTTGACTGCAGAAGGTTTTCTCCTCCAGAACAGAAACTAGAAAGACAATGAATACACTCCTCTCTTCTCATTTGGAATCCAGATCTCTATAAAGAAATGGAGCAGGAAGAAATTCCCCCTCCAACAAATAAGTGTTTCCATCCAGAAACTGGTTTGGAAGAGCAATATCCTCTGCTAGCCCAGAGCAATGCCCTAACAACTAGCCCAAAAACTGGCACTGTCAAGTGGAAAAGGTTATGGTGAAGCACCTCAGTTTTAAACCTCACTTCAAGATGTCCTCCAGAATCCTCAATCCACATTCAGTTTTACCTCTAACTAGAGAGGCATTCAGATCAATGATACAGCCAACTTAATGTGAACGTTGTAACTTTCAACAAACAGCTAATTTCTAGAAAAAAAATAATTCAGTTGAAGTGAAAAATAAAATCTGCTGAAATTCATAGCTATCAGAAGCAGGCAATCAAGAAGAGCTAAGAAGGAGACTACAGAACACAAGCTGAAAAGAAACCCATCTAGCATAACTACATGCAACAATACCGTCCACAATCTCCAAAGCAAAAAAGGAAACTAAACTATATTAGTGGTTCCTCTTGCTTCCCTCAAGTATTTTCCAACAAAGAAAACTGTACTGCAGCATAAGCCAATTCATCATCTCTTCACGTAGGATCAGGCTACAGAACCAAGAGAGTTCCAACAGCATATTATGAAAACAAATATTGAACAAATTCTTCCCTGCTGAAGACAAAAGCAAAGTGAATCAATTAAGCCTTCAGATTCTAAACAGCTCCCTAGACTAAGCTGTTAAAACTCTTCCTTTAGTCAGGTAACAAATTGTTTCAGAAATGGCACGTCAGCTTGAACAGATACAAAACTCCACTAGGATATATTTAGATATCCAGTTAGGGTAATGGGAAGCTCTGCTCACCCCATGTGCATATAGAGGCAGAACTGTCACAGGCAACTACTTGTTCGCTCATACACACTAAGGGAGGATTAAGCCTTTTAACTTCTATTAATACAGTTACACCAGCTCTAAATTTATTATTCCACTATGTTAACAAGATCTAAACAAAAAAAATTCACTGGACAGGAAATTCCAGCAATAACTCAGAAACAACTAAAATTGGCACAGCTTTCAATATCTAGCACCTGTTGGATGTAATTTTGCATAAAGCTTACTTAAAAATGCCCAAAGACATCGAACAGGACTAGAATGCGTATTCAGGTTTCCGTATTGTGGACTAAGTAAGATCACTTCAGATAAAGCAGGGAAGGACAGAACATATGACAACAGTAGCACTTTTTTCCTTTTTTTTTTTTTTAATCGAAACATTACTGAAAAACTAGATACAGAGAGAATTACAGCGATTCTAAGATCTTGAACTTACCCTACAAAACAACAAGTTCTCTATAATTTCAGAGCAGACACGTATTAACTAAGTATTCAACTAAAGTATAATTTCTGCTAACGCAGGGTTGGTCTAACTTACGCCTCATCTTTTTTCTGCTGCTCATCTAAACTTGATGATCCATCACTACACAAAAGATGTCACTGCAGCCACCTCCAGTCCTGATGTCAGATACTGCATTTGACAACTCCTCCCTCACTTCTATACTATGGAACTACTTAGTGGAATCAGAGGGGGCCCTGCTTCATGAGGGCACAATACACATTTTAACTAAATAAAAGACAGCTTTAAATACCAAGATTTCATACCATTCAACAAAATGGAAGAAAAATCTATTACTTGACCTTTATTTAAATGCTTACTGAATAAAGATTAGAGAACAAAAGCGCTCTCTAAGCCCAAATGTTGTAATTCTTCAATAACCCGGCTAATTCCTAAATGCAAACCTAAAATCAATTACTTATAACAATATAAATCATAAATCACAAAATACTAACATTTTAACTACATAACATCGGAAATCAAACCAACATACATTAAGCACAAGAAAGACTGCCATTTCAAAAGGCTGGGGTTTTTTAGTGGGGTTTTGTTGCCTGAGGGTTTTCTTTATTATTTACCTCAAAATTCTCACTGACTTCTTGCATCATTTTCAATTTGGTTTCATCAGCTGAAAATTGAAATTCAAGCAAAAAAATTAAATGTAAAACTACATCATGAAAGAAAACACCAGGTTCATTGACCAAAGAAGCAATCAGATCTTATCAGTTCAGCTATCACTGCCCAATGAAGGCACGCAATTTTCACAAACACCCATCACACAACCGCACGCGCACACAGCTCGCTCACTTTGGCTCATGCAAGTGCTACTCATCACTTTGCTTCTTCAACAGTCAGAACTCAGAAGAAAATTCAAAATGAGTTTAACACATATTTATCAAATATTTAAACAATACTGTTTGTGAAACAAACTACTGAAGAACGATAACTTGCAATAGTAAAGTATCGTACGTGTATTGACATCTGTAAGAGCAGCCACAAACTGAAGGTATTTTTTCATCAAAGTGGTTTGGTCCACCACCGTAGGCCCTTGTGCTGAAACAAATGCCATCTTGGAGGAGGAAAGACCAGCTTTCAGTACAAAAACTCAAGACCAACACCTACAGAAACAATTAAGAAGTATTTGTCAGTTTATACGACCAGCTAAGAGCAGCTATCATATCACCTATACCCATTCTTTTGACATACTGAAGAGCATCTTTTCCAGAAGCCACAACTGCCCCATTTAGTCAGGCTGACGAATGTAACGCCCAGCACGTACAGAACCACGTTCACGTACAGCAAGCACTCAGCACCACAGAACACACTTTTCGACACAAGTGGTCACTGGGCTCTTCACACCACAGCGTGAGCATTCGCGGGTTTGGTCCGGTTTGGTTTCCTCCCCCAGCAGCAGCGGCAGGCTCAGGGACGCTCCCGGCGCCACACGCCTGTTGCCTTCTCTTCGCCCCACACTCACACCTGCCCCGGCCGCGCCCCGGCAGGACTCACCCAGGG